CAGCCTAAAAATTGGATTTCCTGACTCTCAGGACTTAATCCCTGCCCTACCCACATTTGACCAAAAACAAATGAGTCTTGTGGCTTCTCTGGTTGTTAGTCTGAGAAGGCAAAGACAAGGGGCTGGGAAATGTCCCTCCAGCTGGCCATGTGGACTTGTAATAGGCATGTAAATACCATGCTGGGACATGGGGGCAAGGCTCATTTGCTGCCTTCTCACAAAGTGGAATGGGAGACTCCATCGCACGGTGTTAACCGATTGGTTGCATAGTAGTCTGGTGAAGTGTATTAAGGACATTACCAGAGCAATGTAAGCTAAGGCCAAGGAGGACAGTCTGACCAGAGGAAGACCACAAAGTATGTGTTTCTACGTTTACATATGCCTCAGGAGAGTTTGGCAGCATAACTGGGACCATTTTCCAAACTGAAAGAAGGAATTTCTCTCCTTGCGAGGTTGGCTGGGCAGGCTCCATGGGGGCCGAAGTTTGCCTGTAGAATTACTTGGCTTTGTATATAGCTAGATGTGGTCAACTACACTCCCCCTTCCAACAGGCAGTCAATTGGAGAGGGCCAGGGTTTGCAGATGGCTTTTCTGCTCTTCTCACCATGGCCGTGGCAAAAGCAACCACTGAGACTCCATTTGTGGTGAAAGGAAACGTAGTTGAAGGGTATGTTTTACCAGGGATGAAAACCAAGTGAACCCAGGAATATATCATGAGGATCCCTTTTTCAGCTCAAGACCCTGAAAAGAAAAATAAACTTTGTTGATAGTATTTGACTATTGTTCGTGTTTAAGGGCCTCCAAAATTTGGAAATGGGGGAAACAGGACTGACATTTTAAGTGCTTAACTGTAATAACTGTAGTATTGGACTAAATGTGAAAGGTCAATGGAAAAAGACAGGATGACTTCCAAAGCCCTTGGACTGACTGGGAGTGGGAGGACGGTGGTGCAAGGGGAGGCAGTGGTTGGGATGGGCAACTGTGGAAACAGAGAAAAAAGACAGACACAGAGACAAATATTGGTGGTGCTCATTCAAACCCTTCCCAAAAGAAAAGAAGTCTTAGCCAATGGATTTTGAGGGTGCAATGCCACTCCCAGTGGGTAAATGTATCTACAGGGGTATAATAGCTCTTGTGTTTGTGCATTCATATTCTGTCCATAAGACCATCTCTGTGTGGCATGAATGATGTACCGAGTAGCTTACTTTGCTACTGCAAACCTTTGGCTTATCCAATTCCCTTTAATCTGATGTCACACTCAACAAGTAATCTCCTGATTACTGTTTAGCTCCTACAGGGAAAGAATGTTTTGATCCCAGAAACTTCAGATATTCTTGTCCTTCTAAAGATGGTTTCTTACGAAAAGTGAATAACTTGGCATTCTGATGTTTTATATTAGCCTTTTGAATGTAATTAGCATGAGCCTGCCCTGAGAGATGCACTGCATGGTGTGCTGACAAAGTCAGGTCTGAGCTCACCAGGCTAATTATCTGACTACTGATGATTATCAATTTGTAAGATAATAAATGATACCCTGTCAGGCCATTTGGGAGACGGCCGGCCAACCTTTCCACAGTGGGGCATCCTGGTATCGCCCTTTAACTGAGAAAGCACATTTGGAACTTTAATATAACCCTCTTTGAGGAAGAAATAGCTACAGCAAGGTAAAAATAGAGTGTTAGTGATAGGAGGTGGGAGTGGTGCTAAAAATGTTTATGGCATGAATATAGTAGCCGTGAGAATGTGTCTCACAGACTTCCAACCACAGGGAAGTAGCTGTGCTCTGAAATCTATTGTCATATTTGCACAAAGGCCACACCTCAGTGGGTTGCTCCTAGTCAGTGACTGAGCACAGCAGGAATACTAAGGCAGGCCCATTCCTGGGAAAAACAAGACTCCTCTGATGGGTGATGTTGGCTTGAGAACTCCCCAGCAGCCTTGCCAAACCTCTTCTAGATTGCCTAGCAGTCTAGAATGCTTCCATCCAACCTTCCTTCCCATATTCCTTCTTGGGGTCAGATTTTCATCATGCTCCTTACATATTTAGTCTTGTCTTTTCAAATTCCCTAAACAATCACAATAAAAAACATTGGATGAGATGTGAAAGGTCAATGGAAAAGATAGGATGACTTCCAAACCCCTTGGACTGGCTGGGAGTAGCCAGGATCCTGGCAGGAAAGAGATGGTATACTCAAATTGGGATACTTTGAGTAGAGTTAAATAAAGGAATTGTTTTCAAAGTTATGGGCAGGGTATAGAGAAGCCACAAGGGAGAGTGTAGTTGTTCATGGATAGCTAGGTACTGCTCTCCACCCTAGGCCTGAAGGAGCGAGGGGAGAGAGCAGTTACTGAAACCCCAAGATTAAGAGGGCTGCAGGTAGAAGCCTGCCTTAAAGGAGCTAGAATCTTTGTGCAAGGAATGCAGCCCATCTGCAGAGTCCCCAACTGGAGTTGCTAAAGGAATAAAGACCCTTGCTTCCATGTACTGTCTCCCTCTGATCTCTTGCTTGCAATTGGCCCAGCCCAGCTGGAAGCCACAGGGAACATAAGCCTATCGATACCTCATGCGTCAGCCTCATGCATCCCACACAGGGAGAGAAAGGTGGAGAGTGGATCTGTAAAGGCAGGTGGGATGTCTCCAGCCACAAGACAATAGTGCGCTTTTATATGGAAGCAGCAAGGCTTCCCTTAAGGCTTCTCTATGGCAGCAATGATGAAAGAGAGCCCCAGCCTGACAAATGAAAGACACAGACTCCACTGAAGATAGTGTTGGGTGAAAGAAACAGCAAAGACTGTGAAAGAAAGTCCAGCCCTGGGGTTCTGCCTGGACCTAGACAGGATCTAGCCCTGGTTTGTTTTCAAACCAGGGCTGGTAGGAGGAGACCATTGATCTTTAGGCTTTGGGATATGGTGCTTTCTTCAGGATTGGACTCATGCAGTAGTCTCCAAAGAGGTCAGTAGGTGGGAGGATATCTTTTCGGCCCAGAATAGGCTAATAAGATAAATTCAGAATTAAACTGCCATGACTGCTCATAAACACAGAAAAGAAAAGGAACCAGATGGAAACAAAGGGAGAGCCTGCTGCTGGCATCTTTCTTTTTACCACTCTCCCTTGGGAGATTTGTCCCTGTGGCATTGCAGTCTCAGTTGGAGACTTCTTGGAGGGAGCAGAAGAGCTTCTTGAGTCTAAATTGACGTTGAAAAAAGGCTCTGTATTACAAGAATACATCTGAATTCATCATGGAAGTCAAGAGGAAAATGTGATTGAGGGAATTCCTAAACTCCACCCTGTCTCATCATCCCATGTCCTTATCAAGCACCATGTTTTATGGAGCCTTCCCCTGTCTCCTGGATCTGCCTACTTCTCTTCATTCCCATGGCCACTGCCTGAGGCCAATTCACCATCATATTTGCTTGGATTACCACAATGGTTGCCTCACCAGTCTCCCTGCCTCTGGCCTGACTCAAATATCAGTCAGGATACTGTTGGCTATGTGAAAACTGTGACTAAAATTGGCTTGCTGTTGCACCTAACCACAGGTTCCTTGTAGGGGCAGGCTCCAGAACAGCCCACCAAGGCTCTAGCTCTACTTCTCTCTGCACCTCTTAGCCTTAAACTCACCCATGTGGTAACTTCATCAGGCTGGTAGATTGATAACCACATCCATTCCTGGTGTCATACCTGGTCTCTACAAAGTCCAGAGGTGGAAAAGGCCATCTCTTCTTGTGTGCTTCACTTATGCAGGAGGAAACCTTTCTAGAAGCCCTCGAGGAGACTCCCCTGCACTTGGCCACCCAGAAGAGGAGGATTTCTAAACAAGCTGGGAGTTCTGTTAGGAAGGAAGAAGTTGGCTGCTACATCCATTTTTCTACACAGCAAACTTAGTGATCTTTCTAATGCAGAAATCTGATCATATCATTTTCCTGCTTAAAGTCCTTCAGTGGCCCCCACTACTCTCACACAAAGCCCACATGTCTTACTTGAGCATACGAGGCCATTTTTGCTGTGACCCCTGTGTACCGCCCCAGCCTTACTCCTCTCCCTGTCCTCTGTCCTGCAGTCATTCTAAACTGCTTGCATTGATACAAACAAGCCATGTTCTTCCCTCTATCAGTTGCTTCTTGGTTTCTGCTGGGTCCTTTGCTTGGAGAACACCTTGCTTCTTCTGGCTTACTCGGGTCATTTTGGGAAACTCCATATAGATACTAGTTCTTCTCAGGAGGCTTCCCTTGGCCCTGCTGTGTGCTTACTCTTACACTATCCCTTGGCCTACCTTGGCCAAGCCTTCCCTTGGCCCATCTTGTGCCTACTCTTACACTATCTGGCTGTATTCAGATGACCTATTTGCCAACCCATTTCTCTTTCTGGACTCCAGGCCACAAGAGGGAGAAGTCTGTGTGCCTACTGTAAGGACCTGTCTGGTGCCTCAGGTAAGACTCAGGTTCTAGCATCAGACAGCCTGGATTTGGCTCTTGTCTTCAACTACTGTAACTATATCATATTCAATTATTATGAGTAACTAAGGTCAGTAACTACTTTGAGTACTGAAGGTTATTTAACTCCTCTGAACTTTTGTTTTCTTCATCTATAAAGCAGGGACAATAACAGTAACTACCTCATGCAGTGATTGTGAGGGTCACGTGGGATGATTTGTGTAAAGCACTTAGCACAGTGCCTGGCACCAAGCTGGTGCTCAGTGAATGTTAGGCTGAATGGTGATTTGGTGAACAGAGCTGAGTCTCTCCCGCTGTTCTGGGAATATTAAAAGCATTATGATACATGTGCCTGGATAAGGGGCTGCCAAGGCTAATCTTACATACATAATTGAGGAGGATGTAGGGATATGTTGGCTTCTCACATAATTATTTTACTAGCCTATGTTGCTGAATTCTCAGTCCTGTCATTACATATTGATTATTTCATGTTAGCAATCAATCAATAATTACTAAGAAAAAAATCCTGATAGTGCAGTGGGAAACTCACTCATTTCCTGCTCCAAAAGACATGGCCTTGTCCAACTAGTCAAGGTGTAGACAGCAAGTGCTCTTGGACTTCAGAGAAGAACTCTACATTGAACTTGAAGGATGATGACATTTAGACAGATGGAGATGGGAGAAGAGGACCTAGACAATGAGAAGAGAGGAGGCTGGAGAGCTCTGTGCATGGCAGAGGATAGCATATGAACCTCTGGTGATCAGAGGGTCTTTCAGGTACATACTGGGTGATTTTTCCTTGAAAAATGTGAATTCACTTGAATTGATATTTTATCATAGAATTGTAGAACCAGAAAGGAATTTTAAATCCCCTTGTTTGAAGAAACTAAATACTGGGTCCAAAGTCACTCAGTTAGTTGGTAAGAGAGAGAGAGAGACTATAAACCCAGGTTATCTGATCCCAAATCTAGACTTTAGAGTTCTTTTACCCACTACCAAACCACCTCTTAATTAGTGTAGTTCTATTTCTTCTAATAAGGTGCTGAGATAATGAAGTGAGAGAAATTGAGGATTCATTGTGGGTAGAGTGGGTGGGTGAGAAGGGAGCACAAGAGGAAAGAGAAGAGGAGACCCAGGAGGAAGTGGAGAGGTGGGAAACATGCATCTCTAACCCTCAGCCTCTTCTAACCCTCTTTTCCTTCTGAACAGAGCCTAAAATGCATTCTTACAAAAGTATAAATCACCCAAAAGCCAGAATCAAAATATCGTGCTCAAGTAGCCTGTTATCAGGAGGGGCCTGGCGTGGAACACTATGTGGCAAGAACCAGCACATCTGAAACCCAAGTTCCAATTCCAGTCTGCCACTGACTCATGTTATAGCCTTAGGGAAAACATGCAGCCAATGGAACCACATAGAACATTCTAAAGGAATAATTCTGAAGATACTTGAAGACTGTTGCCATCATCCAGCCCTCCTCCCAAGGCTTTAGGTCTTCAGGCTAAATACTTTGCATTCTTTATCAGTTCCTTAATTTCCAATTTACCCTGATTGCCCGCCTCTTCATGAGTAGCAGTCTGTCAATGTCTCTTTTCAAGGCACCATGAATGGAACATAGATTCCAGCTGGGTGAGTAGATCAGTCCAATTCTCTCCTTGCCATGCACTCCAGACTTGTATTAATGGAGTTTGAGTACTGGGCCTCTCTGGCACTTTGTCTTACCTTTCCTCCCATGTGGATGCAGATCCACTCAGTTACACACATATCCATCCAACGAGGCTATCATCTGCTACAGGCTCCTCCATTTTCTTCAGAAACAAATTCAGAAAGACTTTGTTAAATGCTTTGTAGAAATTCAGATATGTTATGTGCACAGACATATCTTGATTTACCTGTCTGTAGTCACAATCAAAACAAAAAGTTGTATTTGGTTTTTCTGAGCTTATGTTGCCTCCTGCTGGTCCCTACCTCTTGTTCCAAATGCTCATGGATCTTCCTGGTCTACAACCTGGTTCAGGTCGCCTCCATGCTTACCAATCTCTCATTGTCAGGACCCACCTGCTTTCTGTAAAAACAAACAAACAAACAACAGCAACAACAAAAACTTGTTCCTTACTTTTGGTTGTCTCTAGTTTTCCAGCATCCCCTCCATTTTCCTGATTACTGAGAGGATTACATAGAGCAGTTCAATCATCTCATTGCAAAATGACTGATTATCCTGGCATGTAATTTTTATTTATTTACTTTAGAGATGGAGTCCTGCTCTGTCACCCAGGCTGGACTGCAGTGGTGTAATCATAGCTTACTGCAGTCTCTAACTTCTGGGCTCAGCCTCCTGAGTAGCTGGGAATACAATGGGCGCTACCACACCTGGCCCTGGCATGTAATTTTTTAACATCTTTCTTGTAAAAGACACTTCTGGTAGAAGTAAGGATATAGGTGAAGATGCAACGTTTTTGTTTTTGTTTTTGTTTTTGTTTTGAGACAGAGTCTCATGGTGTCACCAGGCTAGAGTGCAGTGGTGCAATCTCAGCTCACCGCAACCTCTGTCTCCTGGGTTCGAGTGATTCTCCTGCCTCAGCCACCCAAGTAGCTGGAACGACAGGCATGTGCCACCATGCCCAGCTAATTTTTGTATTTTTAGTAGAGATCAGGTTTCACCATGTTGGCCAGGATGGTCTCAATCTCTTGACCTCGTGATCCACCCGCCTTGGCCTCCCAAAGTGTTGGGATTACAGGCATGAGCCACCGTGCCCGGCCCTAACGTAATCTTTTAATACCTTTCTTATAAAAGTCACTCCAGGTAGAAATTAGGATATAGGTGAAGATATAACTAAGACTTGTGATAATAGAGAATTGGCACAGATAGAGGATCTCTCTGAGGCCCACACCTCTGTAACAGCCTATGTGTAAGCAGTCCTGGGCTCCTATGGCAGCATCAGGGACCAGGATCCTTTGATCTTGCTGTTCCATCTCTAGAGAGTTGCTTTTGCCCATATGGTTCAAGGCAGCTCATCAGCATCATTTCATAAGCCTCCTTGGCAGTTGGAAGGGGAAAAAGGGAGGAGGAAGGCACAACCCTGAACTTGCATATGTTGCTTCTATTTATATCCTACAGGCAAGAACTTACACACAGGCACTGAGCCGAAAGGAAGCCTGGAAATGCAATCTTTATTCTGAGATGTAATATGCTCAGCTAAAAGTCTGCAGTTCTGGTTCTATGGGAAAAAAGAAGACATATATTAGAGAAACTCTGCCACACTTCAACTTCCTCTGTAAATCTCTTACATTCCCCATTTTCCCATATCTGAAACTGTAGAGTCACTTCTACTTTTCCTAATTCTTTTTTAGTTACTCACAAAATCCTATTTATTTTATTCTTATAATCAATTCTATTTTACTTCTTAAAATATTTTTATATTTTATTCTTATAATCAATTCTATTTTACTTCTTAAAATATTTTTATCCATCTGTTTCTTCCTATATTCACAGTGATTGACATCCAGATACAGACACTCATCAGTCTGGTTTTGCCCAACCCAGGATCCACACTGGTCATCTTCCACCTGCTGGGGTTTGGCGGGAAAGGACGGAGGATAGCTCTTCCCATTGGCAAGTGGCATGGGACATAGTTTTCTGCTGCTCTCAATACTGATGCCTATTTGGCATTGGACTGGGTATGGGGAACCGACATTCTTCCTTGTTGGCCCCCTGTCAGGAGGGATAAGAAATCACTGCTTCCGCCACTGCGACATCCTTTCCAGGTCCAGCTAATTCCCACTGACACTGGTTCAGCCTCACTCCCCAGAGAACAGTGCTCCTCCAATTTATGTCATCTTTCTCCCCATCTTTTGGGAGCTGTGTTTAGCCACTTTGTCATTTAACAAGACAGTAAGAACCTTTTAACTTGTGTCTCTGGAAACATTTTCTCCTCCTCTCAATCATTCTGTGCAAAGCCAAATTAATCTCCTTAAAATAGTGATTTCATTTTTAAAAACCCTCCTACTTAAAAATTTCAAAAGGGTGGGCTATTTGTCACAGCAGGGGTAGCAATAAGCAAACGCTTGTTGCCTTGCTCAAGGTCGATCTCACTAATTGATCAAGATACTCTTTCCAGCTCAACGCAGATGAAGCTTTAGAATCCTTTCCCACAATTGGCACTACCAACCGATTAGAATTGGCATGGAAGATAGATCTTGTTTATCACCTTTAGCCTACAAAATTATTTCCAAAAGTTAGGCTTTTGACAGTGCTCTATCTCTGAATGCTTTTTGTGTGTTTCAAACCATGTTTGTCAATATACGCAGGGCCTATTTCCTCAAATAAACCATACATTCTTCATTCTGGTTTTCTTTTTCCCTTAAATGTCTGGGTTCTGCTCACAGAGTTGTTTATAGCTGTCTTTTGTCAAAGAGGAGATGGTAAAGGTGCTGAGGGCTGAGCCAATGGCAGAAGAAAGGGAGGCCAGAAGGAAAATCTAAGCTCTCATCAAGAAAGGCAGTAAAACGCTGTAAGCAGAAAACTGGTGCCAGGTGTGAGATCCAGGGAGCGCGGCAAGGTCAACAAATGGAAAAACCAGAGCTCAGGAGCCAGAAGGATGGGAAGCAAGTGGGGTTGCAGAGTGCAAGTTGAGACAAGGCAAATTGTTCAGACCTAAGTGTTTTTTGGCGCTCTCAGACCGACCTCTGTGCAGGGTCAGCCATTAAAACAGAACTCCATACATAATATGCACTCACACGTGAATAAGCAAAAACATAAAGTAGTATCATCTAACCCTATGTTGAAATGCTAATTGAACATCCATTTTCTAGTTTCCCTCAGTCTTCTATACCCAAATTCATACAAAAATATTGGCTTAGCAACTTTCCTTTAAATTACTGGTTCTTCTCTAAATGTCTTTAACATTGTATTTAAACCAGAGTGGAAAAGATAACTCTTGGTAAGTGCAGTAATAATAAAATACACCATTTAAAAGGTGGCAGATGGAAACCAGAAAGACTCCACCCTGGGATTTTTGCAGATTAGATTCACATGAAGCTTTAGTCCCCGCTCTGCTCCTGCTAAGGCTAAGGGATGGGCTTCTTGCCACAACTGCCTTTGCAGAAAATAACATCTTGCTCCTACCAAGAAAGCAGGTGACAAGCTCAGCAGCTGTGCTTTGTTTTGTTTTTCTCCATGGCAGGAACATGTGCCCCTGAGTGGGCATTGTTTGTGGAATCAGTAGGACAGCAAATGCAAAGGCAAGGAGATACAGGTGAGTCAGGAAGGAGAAAGTGGCACTTGGGGGCAGAACAAAACACCAAAAAAGCCAGGTGATGGAAACAAGGAGAACTATCATTCGCCCAAGTTAACAGAAGCAAGTTGACTCATGCAACTGTGAGAAAAGCTAAGATTGTTGGCATGCACATGGTGAGTCATCTAATGTATAAGTCAAGCTACGAGCTAGGATTAATCTTGTGCATGGAAACAAATTCGAGTATTTTGAAGATGAGCTAATGAGATTGACCTGTAGGATCACGCAGCACTAATAGCTGAGTAGGCACATCAAGGATAAAGGCAAAAGCTGGGGTTGCCTCGGGAAGTGCCTTTCTTTGTGGCCTGTGCATTCACTCTTTGTGGGATGCAGGCTGAGCTGGATAAGATTTGCCCCACTCATGCGGCCCTCAAGTTCTTCTATTCCAGGTAGGATGTCTTCTGGAGTACAAGTACAAAAGCTGTGTTTATGGCTCTTTCCATTTTACAATGGACTTTCCTACCGGTTGTGGAATTTAGCATGATGGGAGGACCAAGTGCTAGTTGCTGTTGTTGTTTACATTGGTAGTGGTCATCTGTTGGTTATTTTGGTAGGTCAGTGTCCATTCTACATTCCTTTGGTAATAGTGCTTAGTTCCTTCTGGGGATTTGCCTCTTCCCTTGGAGATGGTCTGGTAGGACTTTGATCAAGGTGCGCTGCTCTCCCTCAGTCAAGGAGCAGGTACATGACCTGGGGATCTATAGGCTCCCTCCCTACACTTTCGGCCTCAACCAGAAAGATAAACAGATTGAAAAAGAGTAGACCCATTTTGACCAGGAGTAACTCCCAGAAAAGAAAGCTGGGTATTCCTGACACCATAAAGATCCATAAGGTTTCCCTGGTGCAATGCCTGGTGCTCCAGCCATTTCTGAGTTTGGTCTCTTAGCCTATTTCTTTTGCTGTCCTATTGCCTTTCAAAAATCTCCCATTTTGCTTAAGTCAGCAAGGAAGAATTTGGTTTCTGTTACTTGCAACCAAAGAACCCTAACTGCTACAGATTCATGTACTCAAAGTTTCCACTAGAGATGTTCAAGGGAATGGCGACTATGGGTAAATCCAATAAGCTGATTATGTGAATATTGATTAAGAAAGCTTCTACGTGTTTTATAAGGGTTATTATTCAACACCATATCTTGTCTTCCTTATATCTCCCTGCCTTGAAGTCTCTCTTCTGATTAATCTGTTGTTTATTTCAACTCCTTATCAAACATTCCCAAAAGTAGAGTAAATGGCGATATATTACCTAAAACCCTGATTATCCACAATATCTTTCACCCTGACAGATCTTATGGGAGTAGAAGGGGGTGGTACTTTGATTTGTAAAAATAATATATAAGGTATATGTATTTGACTATCAGTTTATAAAATGAAAGGTAATCATTTGTGGAAAACAAAAGTATAGCAAAATATTCAAAAATAATGGGAGAAAAGGGGCCAAGTAATAATAATAATGTATTTTGTTGAATCAAAGACAATATCAGTTGTTGAAAACACTGTTATTTAATGTACCACTAAGAAGGAAAAACATGCTACCAATGAATTTATGGCACACCATCTGCTCTAATCTAAATTTTTGTGTATCCCAAATTCATATGTTAGATCCTTCTGCCCAATTTGAAGTGGAGCCTTTGGAAGGTGATTACATCATGAAGGCAGAGTCCCCCTGAGATTAGTGTCCTTATAAAAGAGATTGCATATGCCCCTTCTTTCCGCTCCTTCTGCCATGTGAGGTTACAGTGAGAAGAAAGCTGTCTGTGAGGAGGCAGGCCCTTACTCTGAATCTGCCAGTGCCT